TTTTTATCCCCATTTATGTTAGCTTCACAAGAAAGCCTAGGACATTGATATCATTGGTTTATCTCCTGTGTTCTTATCCTATACAGCCCTGACCTCCCATTTTCAGACCCTAGTTTCCATCCTTTCTGCATTTCTGAGACCCTTCCACATCAATAAAATTCCTGTATTTTTATTATCTTCCTTGAACAAAAGTTTTAAAACTTCTGCCACTTAATGTGTATACTCACTTGTCTTTTCTATTGGAATAGTCTGTCTCCTATAAGGATGATGCTGTCTTTTCCTGAAGCTCCTTTTTCTTCTTCTTAGATTCTATTTTATTATTATTATTATTTTTTAAGTAAACTCTACCCACAAAGTGGGGCTTGAACTCATGACCCTGCGATCAGGCGTTGCCTGGTCTCATGGTCTACCACCTAAGCCAGCCAAGCACCCCTCCTGAAGCTCTTTCAAACGTTGATTTTCCCCTATTGTATCTACCTTATCAGTCAGGACTGGAGGTGGGATAGGTGACCTTGTTCCATGTTGTTCTTTCCAGACCATTCTCCTTGTCTTCCCTAAAAACCCTTAGATTTGAATATCAAGCCAAATGATTATATGTCCTTCCTGCTAGCTACTTGTGTATGTTGGTGTTAGCCAACCTCTGCCTGAACTCCATGAATTTCTCAAAGAGATTCCTCCTGGGTCACAGTTACTCCATTAGTGTTGCTGTCACCATTCCTGGTAAGTGCAGTGTCCACATGGAGTATCCTTGCTCTCTCATGTTCCTTGAGTCCTTTACCTCTAGTCATCTTGTCCCCAACTTAACACTAATACACTTAGTCTGAAGACCTAGTCAGTGTCAGTTTCTGTGCCCTCTTTAATACCGATATTAATTTCATGTATCCCAGTCTGTCCATTGTCACGGAGTCTTTCCAGCTTAGCTGCTTTAGTAACTCAACTCTAGTAATTTTTAGACCCACGCAAAACCTTAACATCAGTTACCAATTATATCTTAACAATTTTCAATTTCCTGAACCCCTCCTTACTCAACTTAGATTTCATGCTCCATCAGTATAATCACTTCCTTACGTTTACTATCTTTAACTTACCTGCCCCTCTTTTCAGTAATTTACATGGTACAGTTTCTCTGCTTAATTACTTAAGTAATTTCTCTGCTTGAATGCAAACATTTATCTGCTCAGCACCTCCACCCACACAGCTGAGTGTGGTTAGAACAAAACCTGTAACATAGTGTGTCTCCTTTTAAATCCAGGTTAACTGTCTTCAAGTGATTTCTCTGAATCCTTTACATCCCACATCAAATCTGTTAGCATTTTGTATTTACTTCTTATTCCAAAAATCTATTGAGAATCTGCCCTACTTTTTACCATCTCTACTGCTACCGAGTATTATCCAAATTATCATCTTCTCTTTCTTCAGATTTTTTTTTTTTTTTTACCAAAAATGGAGGGAATTTTATAGCATGGGGGGAATTTTATAGCGTCACATAAATGAAAAACCCAATAACTATTTTATCTTTAGCTGTGGTGTGATCCAGGGACTCAAAAAATATGTGTATATCACTGTAACCCAGTCTCTCTTGGCTCTGCTTTCTTCTCTGACGGGTTTTTTTTTTTTCTTAGATTTTTACAGTAGCTTCCTCAGTGCCTTCTTTGCTTTACATTTGACTCTGTAGTTTACCCCCCGCAAAGCAGCCCAAATGAACCTTTTAAAATGCCAGATTACATCTTTTTTTTTTTTTTGGTCACAACCCCCCCCAGTAACTTCCCATCTCTCTTACAGTGGCTAATGCACACTGTATGATCTGGTTCCTGGCTTTTTAAACCTCATTTCCTACTGTTTCCCTTTCTTGCTAACTCATTTCAGCCACCCTGGCCTCCTGCTTTACTCTTACTGCTAACCATAATCTTCCTTTAGGGTCTTTGCACTTACAGTTGTCTCTGACTATGTATTTTACCTGTTAGTCTCTTGCCTTTATTAAAATGTAAGCTCCTTGTTATCTGCAGCACCCAGGACAGTGCCTGGCCAAATAGGCACTCAAATATTTGTTAACCGAATGAATGAATGACCTGTAAAGTGGTTATCCTTTGAAATTGTTAAGCATGTGTTTAAGCAGGGTTGTAGTATGCTTGAGGTAAAATAAATTGCAGGTATGTGCAATGTTAATGCCTCTGTCCTTCAGTTGCTTAGATATTGGAAGGATATGCACGAAAGTGTTATCAGTAGTTGTCTGTAGTTAATGGCATTTTACATTTTATATTTCATTTTCATACTTGTTTTTCTGAATATTTGGGTAATGAATATGCATTACCATTATTAGGAAATTTTTATTCCATTTTCAAAAACAAAATATGAGAACTAGAAAGGTGATGTGGTTCACTGAAGGACATAAGGAAATTAAATCAAAGCAGTGAGAGTGTTATCACATGTATAATAGAGTGTTGTCATATGATGAGAGTGTTATCACATGTATGTATTATCACTGGATAATAATTTTAAGGATGATCTTTGAAGAAAGGAAAGATTGTACCAGTGTCTCACTATAACTTTATCTTCAGAATGTGTATTTCTGGATCATTTAGAATTTATTCTAGTAACTGAGTCCTCTTAAACATTGCCCACTAAATTTTAACAGAGCAGAGGAAAACTTTGTGGTGAAGTTCTGGGAGGGCCTATTCTATATCTGCTGTCTCCTTTGTCAGAATCTCAGTTATTTAAAATAACTTTTCTGATTGCTGATGGTCTTTTATGTTCCTAAAATACAGGTGGTGGCTTTTTTAGGACCTGGATTGTATCTTTTTCATCTTTGGGTTCTTACTGCCTACCACAGTGCTTGGTATATAATAGGTACTCAATAAGTGTTTGATGGATAAATGTTGTTCTTTTCAGTTGACCAGTGGTAGTACTAGTTTCTCATGGTTATCTTTTTTTTTCAGATTTATTTATTTATTTTAGACAGAGAGTGTGTGAGCTGGGGGAAGGGGCAGAGGGAGAGGGAGAGAATCTCAGTCAGACTCCCTGCTGAGCACGGAGCCCGACATGGGGCGTGATCTCATGACCCTGAGATCATGACCTGAGCTGAAACCAAGAGTTGGACACTCAGTTGACTGAGCCACCCAGGTGCCCCATCATGGTTATCTTTATTAGGAAAAACCTTTTGCTTGGGTAGTAAATTCCCCAGTGCTTTAGATAAGTGTATGCTGTAATTAGGTTGTTGGTGGACAGAGGGAAGGAGGAAAAACAAGAAAAAAAAACACAATGACAGTCTTCCATTCGAAAAGGTGAATGCACACGTATTAAATGACAAACTTCGTGTTTGTTATTATTTTTAATTGAATAGTGATTTCATTGGGTAATTTTCTTAGTGACATGATTTGTTCTTACTCATGTTGAATTAGGAAAGCATTTTAGCCTCAATATTATGATAAACTAGATGTGTAAATGTCAGTGCTAATAGCTTAGTATTTTATTTTAGTCTTCTGCAAATTGATGCCTGTGGTATCAGGACATTTTTTGGCTTGTTCTTGTAAATAAGGTCTCAGTGATGTTTAAGGAACAGCAACTTGTGGCCAGAAAAGAAAAAAGCTCCATATTATCCAGGCTAAGCAATATAAATGAGACTCAGAAATCCCCCACTAGATCAAAAATCTCCTAGGGAAAGATCTCTTGAGCCTACAAACTAAAGACCTTCAATATAATTTTAAATAAAGCCTTTTATGTAGTATGAGAACATTTTTTAGTTGATAATCAATTGCCACTATTATGTAGGCTTAGTAGATTTGCAAATTTACAAGTTTTTACAAGTCAGTTGGGTCCCTTCCTCAGGAAATCAGTTTAAGTTTTTTTTTCCTATATTGACTCAAAGAGCCTAGTTGTCCTTAAATCCTGCAAATATATTTGCCTTATAATTTGACGGCATTGAGTCAACACCCTTATAGGGTCTGTAGTGTTGTAAAACGAGAAACTGTCCAATAGAGTATCACATTTGAAAAAAATAGACTGTGCTAGATAAAACTAGTATTGGCCATGAGTACCGTGCTTTGCTTTAAAGCACCTACACCTATTCAAGGAAATATTCCCTTACCCATTGCTTTCAAAATGTATACTTTAGGTTTGGAAAGCAACTGAGATGTATCTTTGTGAAATTAAACCATGGTTTCAAATAAAGTAAACATGCAACAAAATATAGCTACCTTTTGGGCACAAAATTAATTCTGTATTTGTGTTAACATTAAAGTGTATAAAGATTGCAGAACTATTGTAATTATTAAAGTAATTAAATTGTTTCAAGCTAAATATGCTTGGGTAAGTGCATCTTAACTTTCAGTTACAGTTGACCCTTGAACAACATGGGGGTTAGGGGTGCTGATCCCTTGCATAGTCAAATCTATGTATAACTTTTGGCTCCCCAAAATGTAACCACAAACAGCCTACTATTGCCTGGAAGAATTACTGATAGCACAAACAGTCAATTAACACATGTTTTGTTTGCTATGTGTTTTATATACTATATTTTTACAATAAGGCAGGGAAAAGAATGCTATTAAGAAAATTATAAGGAAGAGTACTTACAGTACTTTACAGTACTGTACTGTAAAAATTCACATCTAAGTTCAAACCCACGATGTTCAAGGGTCAACTATAATCATTATGTTTAAGCATGTTATGCTAAGTAGACCTTTTTTGGGTCTCATCAGCATACCTGAAGCTGTAGGTAATAAGAATGATAGCTTTCATTTTTCAAGCACTTTTCATGTGCTGGTCATTGTGCACCATCCATGGATTCACTCTCAAATAACTTTCCATGAGGTAGGTATATTCGTTAGTCTCAGTTTTTAGATTTATAGACTCAAGCATAAGGTTAAAGAAATTGCTCAAGGTGACACAGCTAGTGTCTAAGCTGGGATAATATTGGAAAGTAAGTCAAATTTAAACATGTTAACAATGTATTGATGACTCTGATACCAAGTTTTGTTCTCTGTTTTTGTTTACTTTTCTAGTTGATTTGGAGCATATGCGAACGGTAAAACCTGAAAAACACTTAAGATTTTGCCAGGAAAATGGTTTTAGTAGCCACTTTGTCTCAGCAAAGACAGGAGACTCTGTAAGTAAAATAATGAATACTGAATATTATGAGTGATCTTTTGTTTAATAATAATATTCATAGGAAGTACACTTCCTAGGCTTAACTTTTGGAAGAAATTAATTCCTATTGAAGACATAAAATAGATGTAATATTTATTCTGTTCATATTACATTTATAATTCATTTAACATAGGTTTATGGTTATTTTAGAGAACTTAAAAGTACAAGAGTCAAAAAGAACATAAATAAAAAAAAAAAGAAAGAACATAAAAATCACCCATTATCTCAGCATCCAGAGATGACCATTCACAACCTCGTATGATTCCTTTTGGTTTTCTGATGCTCACAAATACTCATGCTATTGCTGTTGCTGCTAGTGGTTTGCATTCACTGAATGCTTGCTTTGTGACTTCCGTTGTGCTTCTCCCATTATCTCTGTGCTATAGATGAGTCCTAGAGAGATTATGTAATGGGGTCCAGGGTACACAGCTAATGAGTGGTGGGGATAGGATTTGTAAACCTAAGTAGTGACAGTCCAGGGTTATTAACTGCACTAAATATTTATTTAAAAAATAAAGATCATAATACAGAAATAATTTGGTGTTTTAATTTTATTTAATGTATTTGTGTGCAGAAAATTTGGTCATATCATTTAATATTATTAAATAGATTTAATAATCCATCAGATTTAATTAGATTTAATAATCCATACTACTGCCAACATTGTATTAGTGCCATTTCACTGTTTTTTTTTTTTTTTAACATCCAGGATTTATTTATTTACTTTTAAATCTTTGTCAATTTGGTAAGCGAAAAAAAAAAGGTATCTTTCTGCTTGAATTTCTTTGATTGCTATCAAGGTTGAACTTTTAAAAATTTAATATTTATTTTCTGATTATTATCAGAATCCTTTCCCCCAAGATAATGCAGACATGAGCACACACCCACACATACCATTTAAAAATATGTGTATAAAATCAGTACTCTTGATAAGTCCACAGATTGGGCTTCTGTTGTCACTTATCTTCCTAGGGGTCTACTGTCAATTTAGAATTATTTTATTTTATTTATTTATTTTTTTGAGAGGGAGAGAGCAAGCGAGCATGTGAGTGGGCAGGGAGGGGCAGAGGGAGGGAGAGAGGGAATCTTAAGCAGGCTCCACGCCCAGTGCGGAGCCTGATGCAGGGCTCAATCTCACAACCCTGAGATCATGACCTGAGCCGAAATCAAGGGTTTGAAGCTTAACCGACTGAGCCATCCAGGTTCCCCTAGAATTATTTTAACTTCCAGTATTTTGGCTTGTGTTTAACTACCCCATATTTTTTGTGTACTTATGTTGAACCATTCTTAAAAATCCTCGTTATTTTCTTTTGAAATGCAGCTTTGAAGTGGTTTATTCTTGTGGAATCAGTTTGAGACTTTAGTTATCTCCATCTTCAGGTTATTTTCCTCATCACCTGGGGAGTTGAGCTCCTGACTGTACTTTCTCTAATATTACCTTTGTTGTAATTCTTAGTGATTTCAGTATCTTTGTTTGTCCTCCACCCTACCTCAGCCACTCACTCCCAGGCTTTGTCATTACAAATCACTGTATCACTCTTCTGTTACCTCCTCAGTGTCAGCCATCCTAATCACTGACCACCCTCCTGTCTTTCCAGCTCATACCCCTGAATGCCCTAATCCAGTCAATGTGCAGTCCTGGCTGGACCTGCTAGAAGCTGATCTTAACACCTTTTTAATGTCCCTAACCTCCTTTCATGTCATTTTCCTCTTTTCCTAACTTAAATTCATGGCCAACCAAAGTCATTGTCATGCATATGCCCTCAATTCCCATTCCTCTCTTTGACTTTATAAAACTCACTTGGCTAAAGCTTAACTCTGGTTTAAACCAAGCCCCCACTATTTTGTGGGGGCACCCAGGCATTTGAACATGATCAGAGAGAAGCAGAGGCATGCTGGAGGTTTCACTTAAAATTCACAATCACTACCCTGAAGTGGGCCCTTAATGCTGCTCAGTAATTATACCACGTGTCCCTAGGCCATCATCACTCCCTCTCACCTAGATGACTGTTTTCATAGCTTCTCTTCTCTCCTCAGAGCTTCAACATTTCCTCATTCATTCTCCCAGCTGATGACCTTGTTTCCTATTCTATAGAAATTTGAAGTCAGCAGAAGATAACTGCATACTCTTGCCACCACATTTACCCCCCACTCACCTCATTCCCTGCCTCTGTTCCCATATCTTCTGTCTTCTGTACAGTTACTGTGGGACAAACCTTTTGTGCTCCTGGCTAGGGCCCACTCCTCCACTGTGCATTAGTCCCATTTCTCTTGGCCTAGTAATGAACATTGATTGCTCAGCAATTCTCTCACCTTTCTGCATCATCACTTTTTTTCTGTCTACTGGATTATTCTCTCAGCATACAAAATATTGTGACTTCTCTTATCTTAAAAACAAGAAACTCTTGATCCCACATTCTTCTCTAGCTGCTGCCTTCTTTCTTTCCCCTAGTTCCGGTGGAATGTGTTTTGAAAGAGTTGTCTCCAGTTTTCTCTTTGCAGTTTCTCTTGAATAGTTTCACCTGGACTTTTTCACCCAGTATTTAACCGTACTACTGTTATTAAAGTCACCAGTGACCTCGTTTTTGCTAAATGCGGTGGTCAGTTCTTAGTCCTCATCTTACTTGACTTAGTTGAAGCATATAAAATAGTTAATCACTCTCTCTTCTTTGAAATACTTCCCTCACTTACCTTCTAGGATACTACACCTCCTGGTTTACTTTTATCTCACTAGCTCTCTCAGTTCCTTTTGCTGATTCCCTCTCCAACTTCTGAATATTGGAGTGCCTTAGGGCTCAGCCCTTGGATATCTTTTTCTAAACCTGTTCCCTTAGTGACCTCATTTAGCCTCAGGGCTTTGACCATTCTTCTTCCCTGAACTCCAGATTCATATATTCCAACTGCCTGCCCAGCACCTCCACTTGGATGCCTAATAATCAGCCCTAATTTTATTCAGGTTCAGAACTAAACTCTTGATAGTCTCTCCTGAAATCTCCCATAGTCTTCCCCAGTTCAGTAATTGGCAGATCTTATACTAATTGCTAAGGTGGAGAAAATTTTGGAATCATTCTTGACTCCTCTCTTTCTTTTATACACACATCTATTGCCAAGTCCTGTTGGTTCTACTTTCATGATATATCAGAATCTGGTGACTATTTGTTACCCTCTCCACTGCTACCACTATGTTTCAAGCCTCCGTTATCTCTTAATTAGTGTCCTCGCTGGCTTCTCTTTTTGTACCCTTGATCTTCTGTAGTGAGAAGACTCAATACAACAGTCAGACTGACACTGTTAAAATAGAAGTCACATCAAGCCACCTTCCCATGGCTCCCATTTAACTCAGAGTAAAAGCCAAAGTCCTTCCATAGCCTACCAGATCGTATGTGATTTGCACTCCTTTAATCTCTTTGTTTATTTTCCTTCACAATCACCCACTTTCTCTCCTTTCCACCATGATAGCTTTCTTATTTTTCTTGAATGTTGACCATCAGTGAACTATCATATATAATGTATTTTAGGATGTAAATGACATAAGCCTTTTGGAGATATGTATTTTTTTTTAAGAAATCAAAATTAATTGGAACAAATATTCAGTAAGTAATCATGAGATAAGTAGGGGTAAGAATATGCTAAGACACTTATGAAGCAAAGAGAAGTATAACATTATAGTCCGTGTCTGGTTTGGAGTCCTGGGAATCCTGGTGGGCCCAGTATAAGCTAAGTATGTATGAAAGGCTGTTTATAGAAAAGTACTGTTGATTTCTGTTTAATAATAACAGTATACTGCTCCTTTATTATGAACCTATAAAATAAAGATTACTAAGTTGTTTTGTTCAAGAGATGTGGAGAATTTATTGAAATTGATAAAAGCCACAAAGATTATTAAAGGGTTGGAAGGTAAGATCTTTTAAGATAGGCTAACGCCAGATCAAAAGACCAGTATAGAATTGGCACTTAAAAACCTGGTACTGAAGTACAGACTAATTTATTTTCCCCAGGACTTTTAGGAGTTTGTTATGCTAGTAGCCTTTTTTTTTTTTTTTTTAAATGTGGTATCTGTAGTTAATTCTCTTATGTTAAAATTTTTTAAATGTAGGGGCACCTGGGTGGCTTAGTCAGTTAAGCGGCTGCCTTCAGCTCAGGTCATGATCCCTGGGTCCTGGGATCCAGCTCTGCGTCATTGGGCTCCCTGCTCGGTGGGGAGTCTGCTTCTCCCTTTTTATCTGTCCCTCCTCCTGCTCGTGATCTCTCTCTCTCAAATAAAATCTTTAATAAAATAAAATAAAATATTTAAAATGTAAATTTTTAGGGATAAATGTCTTTATGTTTAGACCAATTTAGTGAATTGCATGATTTTCAAATTATGGTTTAATCATTTAAAAATTATTACACTTAAAATGCTACTGTATTTGACAAAGCTATTTTTGGAATAACCTGGTACATCATATTTTCACAATTCTTGATGTTTATCATTTTTTAGAAAGTTCATTTTATTTGAAAGTAACTTAAGCATGCCAATTTTAAATCATTTAAACCTATTTTTGTTATGTAGGTCTTCCTGTGTTTTCAGAAAGTTGCTGCTGAAATCCTTGGAATCAAATTAAACAAAGCAGAAATAGAACAGTCACAGGTGATTATATTGGACTTTATATTTTTAAAAAACAATTTATTCCCTAAAGACATTAATTTTCACCACTGACTCCTTTCACATTTATGCATTCTATGTACATATCCCTAAAAGCCTTAGGAATGAATTGTATGAATGAATCAGTGTTTATTGTGGAAGATGGAGGACGTTAACTTTTTGCCCAATTATGATACCCTTGAAACTTCATTTTGTCCTCAAATTGAGATTAATATAATACAGATTTCATCAGTGGTTAAATAATGGGTTAAAATGCTGACCATATTGTTTTGTACTTCCTTATTTAAGTTCTTCCAGGATTATTGTACCACAATATTCTTTTTATATTTCATACAAAATCCCAACAATTTATCTAGATTTAGTCTTAGAGTTTACTCCATTTGGCATCCTCCATGTTCACTTTGGTAAAACATTATTTTTTCTTTAAGTCTGTGTTCTCTGTTCTCTAAAACATCCCTCACTGTAATGATACTGAATTCTTGATGTTCTTTTATTGTTAATTTAGTACACAATTTAATAATGGGATTAACTATTGAAGATTTCTGAATTCTTTCACTATTTCTAGATAATTCTTAGACTAATAAATGTGAATACCAACAATCAAGCATTTAAAAATACCACCATAATAGTAAACCAATTCACATGTTTGATAGAATGAAAAATCAGAGTAAGAGCCTAAGCTTTTGGTTTACTGAGAAGCAACAAATAAATAAATTTTTCCTCAATCCCATCCACTCTATGTCCATCCCATATAGCTAAAAAGATATAATTGTCTTTTCTCATCCTTATATTTTCTTTAATTTTTTCAGTGTTCTGTGTCTTATTTTCATGGTCACTGTGCGTGTGTGGGTGTTTGAAAACAGAGCAAATATCAATTGAAAATTTTTATGCTGATATGACTGTTTCTAGGACTTGATTACAATATTTGAAACTCTGGAAATCTCTTTATTTCTCATTTTTCAAAAGACATTTATTTCAGCACTTATTATGGTCAGGCAGTGTTAAGATATCTTATGCCATATAAATTACTCCCAGACAAATAAAAATAGTTACAGTTGACTCTTGATAAACACAGGACTTGGGGGCACTGAGCCTCCCCCTCCACCCCCACAGCATGGTTGAAAATCCACGTGTAACATTTGATGCTCCCAAAACTTAATTACTATAGCCTACTGTTGATTAGAAGCCTTACTGATAACATAAACAGTTGATTAACACATATTTTATATGTTATATATATTATATACTGTATTCCTTCAAAAAAGTAAGGTAGAGACAAAATGTTTTTAAGAAAATCTTAGGAGGGGCATTTGGGTGGCTCATTTGGTTGAGCTTCTGACTCTTGGTTGAGCTTCTGACTCTTGGTCTCAGCTCAGGTCTTGATCTCAGGTTTGTGAGCTCAAGTCCCATGTTGGGCTCCACGTGAGCTTACTTAAAAGAAAAATCATAAGAGGATATACATTTATAGTATGGTATTTATAAAAAAAATCCACATATAAGTAGACTGGTGCATTTCAAACCTGTGTTGTTCAAAGGTCAGCTGTGCTTGGCTTTGGCCTAAGAGGATGACTACAAGAAAGAGAAACCACCATGATTTGCTTGATTGCACAGAACTTGGCAGACTCCAGAGGTCAAGTGATTCCTCTGCTTTTTAGTTTCTCTTTCTAAATGATGTTTGTCTCTGGTTAATTAGAGAGTTAATGAGTGATTCTCAAACAATCATAAACAATTTATTGATCATATATATGTGGCATAGTGATGGGTCTAAAGAAGATTTAAAGGAGTTTAAGATGCATAGTTCTTAACCTTAAGTGAAGAAAATATTATGTGCCAGGCACTGTGTTATCTCATTGAACTTTCTTCCTAACTCTGTGGGGCAGGTGGTAATTCATCATTTTATGGGCAGGAAACTGAAACTGTTGGGAGGTTAAGTAATTTGATCCACTGATATATGGTTAGGCAGTGGTGGAGGCAGGATTTGAACTCAGGCTTGTTTGACAGCAGTGCCCCTAGTGTTCCCACTCTGTTCTATTAGGGGCAGATTTACTGGCAGTTTGAAGTGGGAGGAAGAAAATGGCAGAAAGAGAAGCTGGCATGAACAAGCTGTAAAGCTTAGGTTATATTTTGGAAGCAGAAGAGCAGTTTGGTTAAAATAAATGACCGTTGCATTGTAGTGTGAAGGGAATCTGAGAAAAGATTATGGAGATTTATGAATACCAAGTTGATAAATTTTATTTAACATATTGATAATGGGAAATAATTTTTTAAGCAGAGAAATAAATGAAAACAGTTTTTAGGTAAGAATCAAATGGTTGTGCATGTGTGTGCACGTGTGTGTGTGGGGGGGGGTTCGTTGGTTGGGAAAGAGATGGAAACAGGGAGATTACACTGCCTTCATGTGATAAGGATCAGAATCAAGGTTGAAGGGAAACAATGGATGTAAGAGAGCAGAATCAACAGGGCTTGTGGAATGACTGTATAAAAGAGAGAAGGCCAAGATTGCTTTGAGATTTCTCTCCTAAAGGAATGGAGAAAGGGGAACCCTTGTGATTGGTGGGCCCTCCTAGAGGTGAAGGTGTGCTGGTAGGTCACAGGCAGCCACCCGAGGAAAGAATTCTGTATACTGCATTATCTCCACTGTGCTCAGGTTCAGGAATAACACCAGAGAGATGGACTAACTTGGATACTTTTAAACGGCAAAATTATAGGGAGTCTTGATTAATGTTCTTGGCTCACTCTTAGTCACTCTTAGTCACAAGAGCCCGAAAAGCTACTATCTTGACTTTAGGGATGGACTTAACATCTAGGCATATTTTAACTAAAGAGGTATCAGCTGTGTTAACTGCATAGCTCTCTACCCTTCCTGTACACATTACCTTTTCAGTGCACCCCATCTTGTTTATTATGTGATGACACTTAACTCCATCTTCAGTTTGTTGGTGGAGTTTACTTTGAATTCATTCATTTGAAGATGAATTCACATTACGAGAGCCCTCTTTTCTTATGTTTATCAGAATCCTTTGTGTAGGGAAGCCTCATTCTTCTTTCCCGAATCTGATGAATTTGGTGCCTTTGCCAATTAAATTACTGATTTCACAATTAACAACATTTCTCAGTGGAAACATTTTTGAAAGTTCAGATTTTAAACATTTTTTTTTTTTTTTTAAGATTTTATTTATTTATTTGAGAGAGCGAGAGAGAGAAAGAGCATGAGAGAGGAGAAGGTCAGAGGGAGAAGCAGGCTCCCTGCCGAGCAGGGAGCCCGATGCGGGACTTGATCCCAGGACTCCGGGATCATGACCTGAGCCGAAGGCAGTCGCTTAACCAACTGAGCCACCCAGGCGCCCTGAAAGTTCAGATTTTAAAAAGTGGTTTCTAAGAACCTACATGCAAGCCAGCAAGCCGTGTTGAGCACAGTTCTTTCTTTTTTTCAATTGAAATATATTTGACATATAACATTGGATAAACTTACATTGTATGACATGTTAATTTGATTGTAATATGATTGTCATTGTAGTGATAGCACCTCTATCACATTCCATAATTATCTTTTCTCTTTAGCAGTTGGAATAATAAGTTCTAATGTCTTAACATGTTTGATGATTATAATACAATATTGTTGTCTGTCTTCACTGTACTGTGCATTATATCTCTAGGGTTTATTAACTATTTGTTTTAAATTTGTACCCTTAAACATCTCTTTGTCCTCCTTACCCCTGACCCCTGGCAAGTACCATTTTACTCTGTTTTCACAAGTTTGGCCTTTTAAAATTCCACATATAAGTGATATCACACAGTGCTTGTCTTTGTCTGACATCTGTCACTTAGCAGAACATGCTTGAGGTCCATCCATGTTGTCACAAATGACAGAATGTCTTCCTTTCTCATGGCTGAATAATAGTCCATTGTATATATATGTACTACATTTTTAAAAAAGATTTATTTATTCATTTTAGAGAGAGAGCACATGTGTGTGTGGGAAGAAGGGCAGAAGGAGAGGGGGAGGCTTATTCAGGCTCCATGCTGAGTGCAGACCCTGGCTTGGGGCTCGATCCCATGATCCATTAGATCACGACCTATTAGATCACAATCTGAGCTGAAACCAAGAGTCGGACGCTCAATAGACTGAGCCACCCAGGTGCCCCATATATGTACTACATTTTTTTTATCCATTCCTCTATTGATGGGCACTTAGGTGGTTTGTATATCTTGGGCTATTATAACTAATGTTGCAGTGAATATGGGGGTGCATATATCTTCCAGTTAGTGTTTTTATTTTCTTTGGCTAAATACTCAGAAGTAGAATTGTAAGATCATATGGTAGTTCTGTTTTTAATTTGGGGGAAACCTCCACACTGTTTTCCATAGTGGCTGCTCCAATGTATGTTCCCCCCAGAAGTGCAAAAGGGTTCCCTTTTCTCTACATCCTCCCCAACATTTATCGCCTTCTTCTTGATGATGGCCATTCTAACTGGTGAGTGAGAGAGTGGGAGAGAAAAAGAGGTGGGGCAGGGAGGCAAGGCAAAGAGGGAAAGAGAATGCACACTTGTTTTCTGTGTTTTTTGAAAGATTCCTGAGGGAATTTTGTGTAACATTTGAAAGTGTTTTGTATTATTTTCTGGAGAAGGAGCTAGTTGGTAGACTCACCAGTCACATGGAAACTGATGCTGTAGTAATTCAGTTTGTGACATAGGTATTTATAATCAGATTATAGTCTTGGTTCCATTCAGTGATTATATAAAGAGATTCTGCTATTTTAGTCTAACCTAGTTTGTTCCTTATGTATACTCTAGATGCCTTGTCCAGAGTCCCCGATTTAAGCAACAGTTGCATTTGTATCCTTTATCTGTTCTTTTTTCTCCCCTAGCTGTTCTCCTCTAAGATAGTATAAAAGCTGGGACTAGATGTTAACAAATGTCCTCATTTCTCATATTGTTCAAGTTTTTTTGTTTGTTTACAAAGTCATCAAACCTTTAGGGAAAAAAATGAATTTCCAATTGCTGTGCTCTCAAAGGTGTAGCATTCAGCTTTTCAGTAATACATTAGATAATCCAAGAAGAAAATGCATACTCCTGTGTCTTATCTCTTTCAGTCTGAATTGCAAGGAGGTTTTGCCATATATATTTGATGTTAAGAGTTTTATTCATTCATTCATTCATTTATCAGAGAGAGAGTGAGTGAGAGAGCACACAAACAGGGGGGAGCGGCAGGTAGAGGGAGAAGCAAGCTCCCCACTGAGCAGGGAGCCCGATGCGGGACTTGATCCCAGGACCCTGGGATCATGACCTGAGCTGAAGGCAGATGCTTAACCGACTGAGCCACCCAGACTCCTCAAGAATTCTTAAGCATTTTTAAGCCTTGACATTTTCACTTATCAGTTAATAAACTATTAATTTCTGTTTGGTTTGAACTTGGTAAGCATTAGTTTTCTCAAAACAAAAATTTCTCTTATGTCTGAGATACTAAACTTGCTAAAAAAAAATATATGTGTGTGTGTGTGTGTGTGTATTATTCCTGAGGTCCTCTCTGAATATTTTCATACTATATATGAACATATCTAGCATAGGGCCTGGTGTGTATTAGGCATGCACATAACTGTACAACTCAAGTGCCCATTTAACCCCTGATCCTAGGGTCCCTCTCTTTAGCTTTATGTGAATATTGACCTTCCTTAAGGAGCCACAATGAACTTAGATTCTTCTTACCTAGATGTTAATCGTTATCATTTTTTCCAATCTGTTTACAAAAACTGCACTGAGATTCCTCTCTTATCCTAAACATCACTTGTCTTCCTTGTAGAACATATTTACTCGCTTTGTACAAACTATTCTAATCCTCAGATACTGAACATTGCTTAATGGATTTCCATATCATATCCCATATTTTTCTTTTCCTCCTCACCTTTTGAAGTTATTTTTTTATATAGTTTCAAGATCTAAATGTGGGGCTTTAGAGACCATGTAGATAAACCTTGTGTTTTTAGATCAGGAGGTTGTGAACACCAAAGTGTTAAAGTAACTTGCACCCAAAGTTATGAAAGTTACTGGCAGCATGTAAGGACACATTATATGGAGGAAAAAGAAGTTTCTTTTAAGTTCCTACTATCTTCAAAGTTCCATGCTTCAAAAAAAAAATGCTATAACCATGCTTTAAGTGGCAATCTCTAATTTTGTTGCAGTATGAATATATATCAACCATAATATTCTTTAATAGTTTACATGTCTGTATTCCATACTAGACTCTTACACATCTCAGAAACAGAGATTATGTATTATTTATCTGAATGTCTTCAATATCTAGAATAGTGATTAGCTTTGAATGAGTGATACTGACAAGTGTTTAAGCCTTCAAGGTATGTTTACTCCATATCCTGAACATGACAAACTACAACTTTTGCAATGGCAAATGTGTTACTACTGTCTGGATTAAGACACAATTGCAGAATTGGCCAAATTGATCTTTAGTGTCCTCCCAAGAGCCCATCTCTATACTCTTTACACCTTCCTGCCCCAGTGCCTAGGTTGCTTTCTTGCTTACCCTCTGCATAGCTGCCGCTTCCATTTCCAATATCCACTCACAAATAAATACTCTGACAAAATAAGGGTTAAGCTGGTATTCAGCCACACGGCTTCTTTCCTCTTAGGGCCATTTCTTTATTTTCACTCCATTAACTAATAGCAGAGAATAATAGCAGAGTGTACTTTGTGGCTCCACAAGTAAAAGTTGGTATTTTGTAGGTAACATTTTCTCTGAAAACATCAATGAATGGCTTGTAAACAAGCTGACTACTATGAAACCACCATGAAGTTTATGGCATGGAAATTATGTTTTTCTCCTCATAGAAAGCAGAGTTTTGAATCTGCAGAGCCCAGTCTGGCTTCCAGTTCAGAAACTTTGTACAAAGCTTTATGTCACCACAGCCAAGGCCTCCAAGAAAGATGTTGCCTTGTTAGTTCTTCATTAATTTGATGAAAATTAATGGTGAAAATCCAAGTCATTTATGTTAGTCAATACTTCAACCAAAATGTCTTGACCACAGGTCAGTACCCTGGTTGTGTTTATAGGATAGGGTTTAAACCAACATTGTGGAGGATTAATGAGTTGCTTACTGATTATGAAAATCCCTTTTCTTTATTGTAACCCATAGTTTGGCATGGAACAGTTAGGTTTGGGGAGGTCAGATAATGGTGTTCAACGTTAATACCTCATGTGGCAGTTGGTAATGCTTCTGTTGATAGCATCAGGCTGAATGCCTAGTAAATCATGAGTCTTGTCCAGAAGTTAATGCTGCTTGCTAGAGAATTGGAGCAGAGCCCATCCAAGGCTAATATACCATAGAATCCTCTTCATTTACTCAGTTGTTTATCCAGTCGTTATAAATACTATCACAAAAAACTACCCATATTAATATGTGTTAATTAATAGATACTAATATGAAGAAAGATTTTCTGAAATAAGATATTTGAAATCATAAAAAAAATGAGGATAATTTTAAGTCTAAGAAATCTGAGGGGAGCACGTCATCGCTGTCATACGTGCTTGTCGTACATGCTCTTTTCATCCTAAGGGTTATAGCAATCCCAAACCTATCAAGGTAGTTTTGATTTTTTATTTAGCAAAACTCCTTTAGATATTTGAAACAGCGATTGTGCTTAAATACTGTATGTCAGGACTTTTTCTTAAATGATAGAAAATGTGTTTCGGACTTGTTTATTTCTGTATGGAATTTGGAAGCATGGAGGTGAGGGTTGTGTGGGTCGAGGGAATGAGCATCAAAAAGAAGCCTTTGACAAGTAATAGATACTAAGTGTAAAGATTGTAAGTGGCACATGGCTTCCTCAGATTTATGCGTCCACTCCCCACCTTCAGAGAAAATTAATTACTCCTTCCCCTCTCTTCCCACAAGATATTATAAGTCCACTAGTAAAGCTCTTATCTTGTATGGCAATTAGCTGTGTACATGTTTCTCTCCCCATTTAGTCCAGATCACCTTGTGAACAGAGACTGTGTAATTCAACTGTGCATTCCCAGTGTAGAGTGACTGGCACATAGAGAGACCTTCAGTAATGTTTATTGAAGAAGATGGAATTAAATACTTTTACTGCACTTTAGTATAGAAAAGCCCTGTAATTCTTTGTTGTCCTCTGAAATTCTGGGTGTTATAGATATAATGTGTAATGGTGATACCAAAAAGTCTGGGAGGTTCAGTAGACATGTCTATTTCAATAATTAAATAGAGTTGCAAAGAATAATGTTTCATGGATCTTCATTTTCTTTCCTTTTATATGCATATATTCTGCTGTTTTTTTCTGTGACATGTTTAAATTTATGTGTTTGTTTCTTTTTCTGTTTTGGTGTTCCCTTCTATTTTCAGTCATTGAACATACTTTCCTTTTTTTCTTTCTTTTCTTCCCCCCTCCCCCCCCTTCTTCATCTTGTTTATGTTGTATGGAATTGGCAGCATATTGTCAGGGCAGAAATAGTGAAGTACCCGGAAGAAGATAATCGACATACCAACTCTGCTCAGAGTAGAATCTGTTCAGTACAGTAGTGCAGGTATTAATGGGTAAATTGATTGCAATTTGGGGGAGGAGGGCAGGGGAATAATGGATGCTATCTTGCTCTTTAGTCCTTATGAATAGAGAAGTTCAAATGGTTATTGTACATGATTGGGAGTTAATATTGTTAATTGTAAGGCCTGTTTTAGAACTTTGAAAAATTGATTCTTTGCCAGGAGACTGACAAACAAGGAATTGGAGCAAATTAAAATAACATTTCAGTTACTTTCAAACATATTTGTCTTTATGGTTGTGTTTATCACATGTGCAGTGAAGTGGAGAGTTGAGACAGTTATTTCATTATTCAGTCCTTCCCATTTTTCCTGAAATAGCTTGGTAATTGAAAGAGTATTTTTAAAATTTGCCTTGAATTACCTTTCTTTGTCTGCTTCTGTGTGCAGACTTAGTAAGAGAGTTGAGAACAGTGAAGGAGCTGTTTTAACTTAAATTATTACTTAGGGCATATTGCTAAATTCATCATTGAAGATATTCCTTGAGGTGCGGGTTAGAGGGATGGAAAGAAGAGTTAAAAGTGTCTTTTGGTTTAAATTATTTTAAAAACATGAATATGAGGTAATTTTCTAAATTTTTCATTCTGTATTTTGTTAGAGTCATTATTCATAACCCAATAGTGAGCTCTTTGGAAGTAAATTAGGGATTTGGGAGGAAAGTTTTAAAAGTTGGAAAAGTTTTAAAAATTGGTTTGCTCAAAACATTTCTCCTTTATATGTGGCTCCTATTTAACATTTACACGTTTTCTTACTAACTCACAAATTGCTGCAGACATTCTAAAAAGTTATGGCTGGGTATAATGGTTTATTTAAATATTAATAAATAATGACATATTTTACTTTGAAATTATGAAGTCTTGCCTATGAATTAAAGTATGTGAATGATTAATTCTCATTCATTTGCTTTAAATTATAACTGGGCTTTAATTTTTCTTATTGATTTGTCAATTTTGTGTTAGACTTGTGGTAACATCGTTAATGTCATAAGACTCAGTAAAGGAATTGCTCTTCCATCCTTGAAAAACAAAAACAAAAAACAAAAACAAAAAACAAACCGAAGCCCCTCATTCCCCAACATCTCAGCTCAGTTTGTTCTGATTGATTCTTTTAATATCAGCTCTGGCTTCATTTATGATGTCTGTCATCAGGAGTTCACCACAGTTCAGAAAATAAAAATATACTTTAACGAGCTCTTTCTAAATGTTCTGATGTCCTGATAATAACTCTGTTTTCTTTTATGACAGAGGGTGGTGAAGGCAGATATTGTAAACTACAACCAGGAACCTCTGTCAAGAACTGTTAACCCACCTAGGAGCTCTATGTGTGCAGTTCAGTGAGCGAACTTTACCTTTGTACCAGTGGTCCTGGCGGCCCTTCACCCCGTGTGGCCTGGGCCTCTAGGAGCTCTGTTATCAATGGCCATCTCTGTAGTGTTCAGTTAGCACTTTCCTCCCAGCTCCCTCGGCTCCTCGGCCTGGACCGGATTCAACTTCGGGACGACACACTTGGAATCCATTAGACTGCTTCACTGAAAAAGAATAATGTTGGTTCTCTTTACGTTCTCCTTCTTTTTTCTCCGATGTAAACTTTTTTAGACAGATACAAAAACTATACAGGTCTTGATCAGCAGCCAGGATTTTGGCCCAGCACAGTTTCATTCTCTTATCTGAACTCCTACCTGGCAAAGTGCACTTCTGAGTGCAGACATTTAAACAAGTAATATATTTTCTCTACAGATACTTCAGAAGGCATTCTTTTGCTGTCTATTGTGAGTGAAAATATATGAAGTTGTATTCAACTGAAAATGCTTGAAATAAAGCTGTATCTATTTTTTTCATTTTTTTAAAAAGGGCCTAAATTGTTTATATTGTTGCTGTAGCTCACAAAATAGTATTTGCTATTGTATTTTTATTACTGTGTCATGGTCATTATGTATTGTGTAATACTCAGGTTAGATGGCTTTTTGAAGTTTGGTAAGTGTTCAGCTGATGTTTCCTCCAAACTGCATAAGAGCACTCCCAGAACGAGTTACGGCTGTTGTTGGATCATTGTGGATCACACTGTACCTGATGTTCAGATGTTCTTCTCCTGCAAATAAACTTATTTCAGTTACTTTTTGGGGGGAATTTTCTTTCAGGTGTCTTCCTTTTAGTTACAGTAAACAAAGTGTATTTGGATACAAAGTGAGGGATCACATGACATTTAGTAAGCTTTCAGTCTCTTAGAGTTGTAGGGTATTTTGTTGGACTGATTTAAGTCTGTAGCCTGGCATGTCAGGGTCTCCACATGAGGTAGCCCATACCTCTCTACCTTTTCTCATCCTGATCTCCTGTGCACTGCCTACCTCTGCACAGATAGAGCCCTGGACTCACTCCTGTGTGCTTTATGATGCTCTGCCTTCCTGTCTTAACGCATGGGTCCCTCTGCCTGGAATTCCTCCCCCTCTGAATTCTGTCTTCTGCCAGCCAGCCTTTAGGCACTCTGAGGGCAGGGCTCTGTGTATCTTGGTGATAGTTGTGCCTGGCCTAGTGGGTGCTTCATATTTGCCACATCAGAGCAGGAATGAATGCCATCCCTCCACAAAGCCAGTCCTCGTCTATATGGTGCAAGTTCCCTGTGAGTACCTCTTGGATGGTCATTACCCCTTCTTGCCTCAAATCACAGTTATTTGTGTCCTCGTGTTTTATTACTTAAAAAGCCATGAATCTACTGAGAACGGTCCGCCTCTCTGGAGCACCCAGCAGGGTGCCTTTCTCAGAGAAGACTTGCCACAAGTATGTGCAGAAATTTTGGACACCTAATTTTACAGCTGTTAGGGATTTTAGAAAACTTGTTATTTAATATCCTGTGTGGCTAGGGAAACTGAAGTTTGGAGAGAAAAAGGAACTTGACAGAGGACATGGAATCAAAGCTAGACCCGATAAGAAATCTTCTGTCTCAAGGCCAGGGGTCACCGCTTCTTGAGAGTGATCTGAGGTTGAAGAAATTTTAAAGATTGTGACTTCTGTAGTCATCAGGTAGCAAGTCTAATCTTTCTTAACTGTGATTTCTTTGTTTTTTATTTTATAGCAATTAAGCAGCCTTTTATGCCTTTCAAGGTGATAAGCCCTTCAAAATATTTCATTTTATCCTTCCTTTTGGTATCTCCTAACATGCTGGCCAGTCTTCTAGGGAAAGCATATTCTCCCTATGTTCCTCAGGAGAATATAAATTTGAATAAAAGAGAGCTCAACTCTCAAGGACCTTCCAGTCTAATAGAAATATTTGTTGTTGCTATTTAATTTATTTATTTATTTTATTATTTTTTAAAAGACTTTATTTATTTGACACAGAGAGAGAGCACAAGTACGGGGAGGGGCAGAGGGAGAAGCAAACTCCCTGCTGAGCAGGGAGCCTGCCATGGGCTTGAGATCCCAGGACCCCCAAGATCATGACCTGAGCTGAAGGCCAGAGGCTTAACCGACTGAGCCACCCAGGTGCCCCTGTTGTTGCTATTTTAAAAGATTTGATTAAGTCTACTATTAAACTAAACTTGCCCTAGATTGTATGTTCAGTAAGAGACAAGGCCATGCTCTTGTGGTCATTTTGTGTTGTTTTTACATCTATGTGAAAACTGGAAGATTTTCAGATCTTTTTCTGAATCCAATTACTGCAGGTATGACTTATCACATATATATGATTGTACAAGTTAAGTGCTACAAGGCATTCTGGAGGAGGCAGAGAGAAATTATGAGAGGTCTGTGATCACACCAAAGCACTTTAGCTGTGTGTTGTTGCAGTTGGAGCACTGAATGGGACTGAGCAGGGGGCAGGAGGGAGAATGGCCTTTTGTAGGGTTGCTTTTCCTGGACATTTTCCGGCACTTGTCACATGAGCTGTTTTTTTTCTCACATCAATCTGTGACAGGTGTGTCATTGCCCTCATTTTACACATTAGGGCACCGAAGCTGAGAGTGAGTGAGTGCACCAGTTCCCTCCTTGAGTAGGCAGTAGAGCCAGGATTCACACAAACCATTTCTGAGATAGGATGGACAAGGCCGGGTCCCGAGTTAGGCTGCCTTCCATTTGTGAAGATCGCACACCTGCCCTCCTTCCTGGGAGTTGACCAGGCCCGAGTGTTTCTGGCAGTAGTGATGGTCAGTGTTGGTCCTTCCATCTTCCGACACGACCACCTAGACCAGTAGTGTAGTCCAGAGAGGCCGGTGGTGGTAAGTTTCCCCTCTGATCACCAAGGTGAGGATGGAAAATGCGCCCCCCTTCCCACCCTGTGCCTTTGGTCCCATCGGTTTTACGTCTTTCCCAGCTAAGCTTGACCCATCATTGAGAGCCTTTTGGCCCAGGAGAGCCAGCACAGTGAACATGCAATAGAGCATATGGCCAAAGCAGATTGCTGAATTCCATATTACAATTTTCCCCATACCTCGGGTTTTATTTTTGAAACAAAAACGTAGGATTCATGCTTATTTTACTTTGACTGTTACCTCTCCTGTCTACAGTTTTTAATTTAAAAAATTACAAGTCTTTCCATCTAGTTTTAGGCACTTTGTCTCCTGAAGACACATGCTATAAAGTTTCAAACACATTGTGGTCACTTCTGGTGCTTATTGAACTTTGAAAAAACACAAAAGTTTTCAGCCAGAACTGGTCATTGGATGCTGCCTTTCAAGTGCACCCTCTATTATGTGTGGCAAACCGCTCTGGAGTGGTTTTTAGAGTGGCCCAAAGAACTCCTGTGACTGCTTTATTATTCCAGGAGGAGGTAAGCCAGGGCCTTTTAAAGTCGATCACTGAAACAATGTGATGGAGCATAATAATTTGTGTGTCATTTAAAAATAGAAAAGTTTTCTGGCCATAGCCCATGCTAGTGATTGCTGTAATGTTGGCCCTCCTGGAGGACAGTTGCAAGACTCAAAGGCAGTGGAAATGCAGACCTACTGAGCACCATGGTAGATGTCTGTTCGCTGTCTCCCTGGCATCCATGCCACCACTTCTCCCAGCAGCTTTTCCTCATTGCCTGGTGGAGCCCCGCCCCCTCCGTTTCCGGCCACTCAGAGCTCTAAGAGTGGATCCTCATTGGCTTGAACCCCTGAGGATATTAATTTCTCCTGGCTTCAGGGATTGGCTCAGAAATGAGGGGGTAACTCCATGAAAGCTAATGCAACTAGAGGGGACATTTGCTGAAAAAGAAAAGAGAAAAAAATGCTTCTACCCCCTGAAGTTTCCAGATTACTCTTTGCCCACTGGCCTTGAATGAGAAAGGCTATGGCTCTCAGCAACATTGGCCGCCATCTTGAGGACACCAAGGGAGGGGCTGCCCAGGTCCCAGAGCTGATGCCAAGGGGGCAGAGGTGAGAAGTGAGAGAAGCCCAGTCCCTGAAACCGAGCCCCGGAGCAAGCAAGCCATGTCACAAATTGTTTTAACAGTGTGACTCAATTTCCTTTATCATTTCAGCTGCTGTTTGTTTTTTCTTAATTCTTACACAAACAACTATTATGTATCGGGGCCTTGGCTTGGCACCTAAGAACGGGTAAACATGATCTGTGTTTTGTCCTTAAGATTTTAGTCTAGGCACATGTATAACTCATCAAAATGTAATCAGACTGTTAAATGCTTCAATAAAACTGTAATATGATACAGGAAGATGTGGCTTAGCAGTGAGTGTGGTCAAATATAGATTTCAGGTAACAGGAATCAGAGTCACCCGTGTAACATAATTACCTTCAAAAGCGAATATAATTCTAGGCTACATTAATGCAAAGAGAGTCCGTTCTCTGAGGTGATTTGTGCAGGCAGATCACCTGGAGAATCTTGATTCAGTAGATCCCGGGTGGGGTTTGAGGTTCTGCATTTATAACAAGCTCCAAAGTGATATTTAATGCTGTTGGCTTTTGGACGACACTTCAAACTGCAAGGGATTAGACCATGCTTGCAGTATATTCCCCTCTTTAAGAGGATGACAGAGCACGTTCTGATAATGGTGAGGGAATCCAATGTCCAGTGAAACAGTTGAAGGAAGACAGTATGCTTAATATGGAAAAACGGGCCTCAGAGAGACTCTGATGGTAGTCTTTAAATAGGTGAAAGACCATGCTTTAGAAAAAGGCTAATCTACCGTAGAACCTGTAGGACCCCAGAAATAGGATGGGTAGGTAGAAGCTGTAGAAAGAAGACTGCAAACATCTGCTTCCCAAGCAGGGAAGAGATTGCTTTATGCAGTGTTGTGTCATATCTCAGGTCTGCAAACTCATGTGGCATCAGGGGCTAGGTAGGCAAATAAATGAATTAAAAGCGATTAAGAGTATAAGGAAGTAGGGAGTGGGTGTTAAGCTGGAGTGCCCTGTCTAAAGCTATTCCAATCCAGTTTTTAACTTCTATCGGCCCAATAAAACCTATGTGTATATAGAACCACTTCTAGCCCATATAGAATCGTTGTGCCAACTGGAAAAACAAAATGTTCCTTTCTCAAGTCACTTTGCTTCTCTCTTTTAGAAAATTGCCACACTATTTTGTTAGAACAAGGCATTTTGCTGTCCTGGAAAATGGGTGATAAATCTACTCTCCCTGTGAGATGAATGGCAGCCCATGGATGGCCTTGGCCTTGCGGCTGGAAACCTTCATGTCTGGATGTAAAACTGATGAAATTAGAAGAGAAAATTATTTGTCCAACTTGTACTTGGAAAGCAAAATTCTAGTGTTCAAATCCTGGGGCCATACGATGCCCGGGGCTCCGGTCTCTGTCCCCACGTTATCAGGGCATCCTAACTGTCAGGAGAGCGGTCACGCTGGGAAACTGGGCGAGGGGCGCTGAGAGTAGGTAAGCCCTGCCTGGAGCAGTGTGAGGGAGTGGTCCGGATGGATTTGATCTGGGAGGGGAGGCCGGGACTGACAGCCTGGCCTGAGACACCCTCCCTCCCTGCACCTTCGGACCTGAGGAAGTGAACCTTTCCGTGGAGGAGGGCCTTTGGGCTGAGCTCAGAACCGCATACATTCCATTCTGTCTGGTCCTTCATCACTTCAGTTTTCCACGCTGCAGAGCTGGGAACAAGAGGAAAGGCAGACTATTTGTTTTAAAGTCCTGCTTCCAAGTTGTATTGAATGTCCCTGGGCCTCCCATGCT